GGGGATAGGGTTTTATTCTTCTGCCATATTTTGTGGGTTTGAAGAAACCATTTTCAGATCATCTAGTTTTCTCAATTTATTTCTTTATTTCAGTTTGTAACAAAACTTTATTTCTTTTGTTCAATTGGATATGATTTATATATATTGAAGATAGAATTAACATAATCCCATTTTTGTTTATATTGTTGTCTAAGTAGGATGCATAATGGCTCACATCATGGGCTTGTTTAATTGGTTTGTAATGCTCGATATTATTACAGGCTAAAATTATGCTTCTTCCTTTTCAAATCATATCCAATTGAACAAAAGAAACATGCCAATAAATAAGAAGAGAAAAAAAAATCATAATTCATGAGTATTGTTTACACCAATTCACAAATCAGGTACATAGTTTAAAAATTAAAAATTCAGGTATCTATGTAATTAATTGAAAATATTTATTAATTAAATATATTAAAGTCACAGTTACACGTTCAATGGTCACAGATTCACAATTATAGATCACGGATTTACTTACTGGTCACATAATATCAAATTAATTGGTCACAAATTATTTCGAAGTCATAAATCAAAAATTATAAGTCACAATTTATTTCGAGATCACAAATAAAAAACTTACAGATGACAAATTATTTCGAGTCCAAATTACTTGGTCACAGATTATTAAATTTTTAGATCACACTAAATAGTTGGTCATATATAACTAAATGATTGATCACATACGCTAATTTCTTGGTCACAAACAATCGAATCATCTATGACCACCACCACCTCAACACTACCACCAGCCGTATCACCGTCAAAATCGCTGTCGCTAAAACCACCAACACCACCATCTCCAGCAACCTCGTCATCTCAAACACGACAAGAAGCACCACCTCACCACAAACAAAATAGATACAAAACCGCCAACACTCTATAAAAGCCATCACCGCGATGTTGTCGCCACTTCACCATCTCCACCACTACCACAACCACTATTTCTACCAGTAAAAACTATTACCTTGCAAGACACTACCACAACCACCGCCGTTCATAGCAGCATTGGCCGGCAAACCACCACTAGCGTCATAACTACGCCCACCACCACCACCATTATTGCAACACCACTGCTAGAGCCAATGAGCCACCCCTATCACATCACGAAAATCGATCAACACCACTCACACTGCCAGTAGCAAACCACTGTCACACCCACCAACCACATACCTCCACCTCTGCCGCACCACAACACCATACCACCACACGACATCGTAGCATATCAACACCGCACCGCACACCTGACACCTCCACCACCACCGCACTGTACACATCCGTCACTGAACTATCAATCACCACTACTCAAAAATTTAGAAAAAAAAGGAAGAAAGTAAGTAGATCTGTAGTGCCGCTGAGATCTATAGATGAAGGCGACGATAAGCGCAGCACAGGAAAGATCATGATAACGGGTGGGCACATGCTGTGTCGCCAGATTTCGTGTGGTGCCGGGGAAGAGAAACAGATGGGGAGAGAGATTGGTGGGGGGGGGGGGAGTTGGGCAAATTAATTAGGATTTTTATGTTTTGATACTTGATTTATGAATAATGAAAGTTCACACCCGATTTTTGAATTTAAATCTTTAAACACCTGGAATTCTGTAATTTCCACAAACAAGAAAGTTACTTCTCAACATATTATTTATTGAAATTTATAATGATGGAGTATATAGTGAATAACAAATTAGAGTTCAAAAATAATACCCTTTTAGCTATCAACTTGCAAATAGTATCAATATAGGATATTTCCCCTCAATTAATCATGTCAAATAAATGTAGAATTGAAGGAAATTCTTTGAATAGAAAATGGATTATGAGAATGTATGACTCAACTTAATCAGCCTTTCTTCCTTCTATGCACGCAATCAGAAGGAAGAATTTGTGGTTTGGAAATATTTTACCTACCTACCATATTTTGTTGACATTTTTGTTAATGGGAATAAAATAATTAATTTGATTTGTGACTTGTTTATGTGTATGTTTAATTTTTTTTTATCATATGTTACAATAAATTTACGTTTCCTGAAAAAGAAAATAAAAAAAATTATGTTTCCCGGATTGGGAGAGAGTTCGCTGGTTTCCTTTCATAATTATATATTTTTATATATCAGTTTCGGTAAGATTAGATGATTGCAGTTCAAGATATTTATCACAATCTGTGAATTTAATTATATCTTCAATTTCAATAAAATAGTTAATTAAGGTTTATGTTTAGACATATGGTTCTCCGGGCATCTCCAATGGTTGCACCATTACACCATTTTGCACCATTTTTTGGTGCAAAGTTGCTCCAATGCAACACTAAATTTTGCACCATTTTGGTGCAAAATGGTGCAAAGTGAATAGTGTTGTACCATATTTGGTGCAATACTATTCATTGCACTATTTTTTGCACCAAATGGTGCAATATCCATTTTACTCTTATTTTTCATTTTTCAAAGATAATGGTTAAGGATATTTATGTTATTTTTGTTCTATAATGATAATGATGATGATGATGATGATAGTAATAAAAAAAAAATTACACTATTAATTATATTATTAAAGATTATTATTTTTAATAATATAATCAATAATAATTAACGAAAAGTTTAATTTGTAAAGTTTACGTTTAAAGTTTAATTTAATGTAAAGTTTATATTATTAAAGTTTATTATTTTTGTAAATTTAACGTAATTGTTTATCATAAATTAATAATATAATCAATTATTTTTATCAATTTAACATAAGATATAAAATATGTGAATGATTTAGTAATCAATATATTTGTTAATTTAACGAAGTTATGATTTAATAATTTATATAGTTATAAAATAAATAAATAATTTTTTTAAATAAATACATTGAGAAAAATTGAAAGAATGAATAAAATAATAAAGCACTGTTCATTTGGTGTAAGTTTTGATGTAATGGTTGGAGAAGAATTTTGGTTTTGTGCAAGATTTGGTGCAAAATGATGTAAAATTTTGGTGCGGCACTGGAGATGGCCTTAATTATACATGGATTGTGTTATTAGTATTATTAGTTTAGTTTGGAAGAGCTGCCAAAACTAGAAAATATTGCTTTGAAAATTACAGCTTCTCTCGATTTCCACTTAGATAGTTGTAAATTTGTTGAAAAAATCTCCTACTTCCCACCTTCCACTAACCCTACAATCAGCACCATGTATAAATAACTAGCAAGCTTGTTCGTGGATAGTATGCAACAGATTTTCAACATGGATTTAGGTGCTAAGAATGCTGAAAAACAATATGAAAGCAGAAATATTCAATCATTTGTTGAAGTCGAAGAAGAAGAAGAACGAGATCTTTTTGAGATCAATCTGGAGATAGTGAATAAAATCCCTCCTCCACAATATTACTGGGATAGCTATTTCACTGCAACAAGTGACACACTTCTGGCCAACTGTTTGCTGCCCATTTCCGACGTGTCAAGGGCTATTCCAATGGCCGTGAAAGCATATGATGTCTTGACACGGCCAGGTGCGGCCGAGTCCATGCCAAGAAAGCTCACGGAGGGTGCCTTTGTGCTGCAGTGCAGGCAAATGAAAGCATAATCTTATTAGAAAAAGCAATGACTATATTGCAAAAAGTAAGAAAAAGAGCAATTATACTTTCCATATAGAGTTTGATTTTAAGTGAATTGTTCACAGTTGTGTTATGAATTATATATGTAATTTTGAAAGTAAACGTACCAATGATGATTATACTTTTCACAATGCTTATAATTAGTAATTGAACTTTTAAAACATCTGTGACTAGCCGACGAATTTTAGAAACCGTTACACCATGCATCACTCCATTATCAACGTAAATAAATAGACTGAATGGACGACGTGGATAACAAATATTTGCATGTGGCATTTATGATGGTTAGTTTTCGTCATGTGACAATGAATAGTCATAAATATTATGAAAACTATAGTCAAAGTATATTTGCTAATGGAAAAAATCTAAGCCAATATTTTTTATTTTTTTATATGTGAGTGTAGAAAGTTCATATTCTCCGTTTCATGCTTTCTTTATCTAATGTAAAATATTAAGGCCTGTTTGATTGGTTGAGTTTTCCATGCAAAATGGAATTTAAATTTCATTTCCAACCAAAATGACATATTTGATAGCAATCTTTTCCATGGAATTTATTTTCCTCCAACCCCCTCATGTGACCGAATTTTTCATGATTTTAAGGAATTGGGTTTCTCTGGGTTTTGATGGGAAAATGATTTTTCAACTTTATTTATTTATTTTCAGCAATAAGAACAAATTTTATCCACAATTGTAAAAGATTACATCCCTTAAATTAACAATTTTCATGAAAAATAAAGTCAAATAAACACCAAAAGAATCAAAATTTTAATATTTTTCAGATGAAAAATTATACCAATCAAACACATTTAATTCAATCAAAAACATTTAATTGACAATTTTCAATAAAACAAGTTCTAGACAATTCAATTTCCTAAAATTCCTTTTTCTTTTCACACAAAGTCCATTTTTACAATCAAACGGACTCAAAAAGTTGTAAACTGACAAATTTGGACATCGAAATTTTGATACCTAGAAAGTGATGTCGAACAAAACGTAATTGAAGAACTTTCTAAAATTGATCGGTGTGAGATTAAAGTTTGCAATGGTCAGTTGAGAAAGCGTGTTTTTGCTGTAAATGCAATAAAATAGTAATTAAGTAGCTTGAACATGCTCTTAGGCCACGTTTGGATCACCTATTTGAACAAAATTATTTCAAAACTTAATTGACCATACTTCCAGGAAACGGACGTCAGACTTACCATTTCTAATCTCAATAGAAGGTTCATAACTTATTTGACTCTAGGCATTAGGTATAAAAAAATTTTGGTTACATACCTTGTTTGATCTCCATTATTTTAAAAATTTATTTTTCTCTCTCTTCTTTTTAATTACATATTCTTTAATAAAATAATATTACTTGCAAATTCAAAACTTTTCCTTATTTTTTAATCATATATTTTCCATTAATCTACTTCTCCAAAATAAACTCTACACCAAAAAAAGGGGTTAAACTGTCCCCACGAATTTAACCTTCAAAATCAAAATTTGCTTTGTTTTTTCGGAAAGATTAATTTCCTTCTCATGACTGAAATTTGCTCAAGACTTAAGCCAAAAGCCTTTTCCAGGAGCTCGTCATTGACTCCAGAACCAAAAATAATATTTGGGATTTTGTGTGTTCCAGGATTTTGGCTGTTAAAACTTCCAAGGATTGTTGCAGGAGATTTTCCAACTTTCATCTGGAAATGCACTAGACCTCTAGGAAACACCATCACCTCTCCTTGTTCAATAATTTTGGCAAAAACCCTGTTTTTCGAATCCACAAAACCGGAATAAACTTTTCCTTGCACAACGTATGCGATTTCTGTGGCTCTGGGGTGGAAATGTGGTGCATTGATGCCTCCGGCCTGTTGAAGAAAGAATTTAAATAAATTCATGTGGCCCACCCTAACTGGCAACAGTTTGACTAAGAATTAAAATGAGATGGTACAGTGCAAAATAATAATAAGAAGAAGAAGAAGAAGAAGAAGAAGAAGAAACAAATAAAATTGACTTAATTGGGGTGCATATTTGTGAAAATTGTGCCTGTGTAAGTGTAATTATGAAAATGAATCTGTGTACATGGGAACAGGTCGAAGATAAGACGTAAATTAATAATTACAGGTGGTAACGAGCATAAGCTTTTAGAAGTGATTCAACACAACCTTAAGGTCAGCACGTACTAATGACATGCCAAGCGTGTTGAGTCCTGGAAATACTACAGGATTCACGGATATGGCTGAAAAGCCTGTATCTGAGAAATTTCCAGGTGATTTTATGCCTGAAAACACGAAATCTTCTGGACTAACTTCCTTCGGATTTTTGCATGTTACGATGTTAAATCTGGTTGTTCTTGTAGAACTGAATTCTGTATTGGGGATGCAAAAATCTTGAAGAGGATCTGGATCTGAGGCCGAGGCCGTTAGAATATGGAGGGATAAAGTTGATAACATAAAGCCAAGTATTGGAAACATCTTCTTGATTTTCTTGGGTTTGAAGTAGACTTTGGCGGAAGGATTTATAGCAGTTCATCTAGTCACCGATTGGCCACCATTATTTCAAATTTTAATAGGTGGAATAATATTTTTTGGAAAATGAATGGTTGAAAAAGAATAAAAAATTTTTTTACATGTAATATTATTTTATAGAAAACTGTATGTTTGAAGGTAAAAGAAAGAAAAATAAAAAATAATTTAATGGGGCCAAATGTGGGCTTAGACTAATGTAACCTATAAGAGCACGTTGGTAATTGTACTGAGTTTTGTTTGGTAAAACTTTTTCAGATTTTAAGTTAATCAAACTTCATTTTTAACTATACATTTGATGAGACCCACCAATTTATAATATCTGAAAACTTTGTCAAAAGGGAGTTGAATTTAAATTAAATAGTAAAATAGAGAATATTTCTTTGTTAAATAATAATCAGTGCTATACAATGGATCCTTCCGAACAAGTCATGAGTGAACAAAATTTGAAAGAAAGAGTGTAACGGGGCCTAACTTTTGAGTCTCGGTTCGTTATTATTAGTTTTTGCGTCTTGCTTTATTTGAACTAGACTTAGCCAACGTGATTGTTACACTATACATCTAATAGCTAAATATATCGCGTATTTAGTAGTTTTTAGATGAAGTTCTTCGACGGAATATGTGTAAAGCCTTTGAGAAAATGAGATAAACAATTTTGCTTTTAATTATTTAAACTTTCAAATTACATAACTTCAAGTTCCTAGTATGTCACGGCCTACTTATTTGATTCTTATGTCACATTCTACAAGTTTTCATATTTTTCTGTGGTGGGGTTGGGATATATATTTATCTCAACATTTGAAGTGCACAAGACACGCTTTGTCCGTCTGATAATTTTATTGTCATAAAGCTGACCAAGAAAATCATTACAGCTAATAATTATTTCTAGACTTTATATGGTAAAAATCGGCACATATGCGGCTCTAAATTATGATTTCTTGTTAGAGAAGTTTTTATAATCCAACAATTTATGTAAATATTAATGCAAAAAATTTCATCTAAAAATCACTTTGTTGTAAAAGATATATATGTATTTAGCCCCCGTTTGACACCCATTACTTGAAAATGAAAATGAGGGAAATATTATTTTTTAGAAAAATGAGTGGTTGAAAATGAATGAAAAGTTTTCGATTTATGTGTAATATTATTTTATGGAAGATTGTGTGATTGAAAATAGAAAAAAAAAAAAATGTAATGTAATATAATTTAATTTAATGGGAATCAAATGGGGGCTTATATTTATCAATCTTCCTTTTCCTTAAATCCATGTTTGATCCCCATTAAATTACATTCCATTATATTCTATTTTTCTCTTTCATATTTTCAACCACACAATCTTCCATAAATTAGTATTACACGTAAATCGAAAAATTTTCCTTCTTTTTCAACCACTCATTTTTTCAACAAAACACTATTCCCCTCATTTTCATTACCAAAAATGGGGCCAAACAGGGGCTAAAAATAAAGAAAATGGTATATAACCACACCATAGTTTCTTATAAGTGCATTATATTATAAATGCCTTAAATATCCTTAGCTTCTAGTTATTGTCATACTTATATGACTTTTATTTCATATCATTCTTATTTTTAACCTTCAATTAATTAACATATTTGTTAGAATTAGGTTGTAATTCGATCCTATTTGAAGTTTACAAGTTTGGAGTTTGAAAGTTGTTTTGGACTTGAAGAAGACTTGAATGAGTCTAATTTACAATAGGAGATGGAGAAATCATGCAAGGAGAAGGAAGCATCGCATCGACACTCGCTACATGCTCAGCACCTACTCGAGCACTTAAAACAAGGATTCCAATGCATGCTTGCCATGAGAAGAGCGGCCAGTCACCGCTTGACGTCCACGAGACCACCGCTCGAGAAATGGCCAGTTCATGATTTTAGACAATTTTTTAAATCCTATTTTATCCCAAACACTCCATTATTGTATAAACGTGTATAGTTGAACTCCACCACATGCATCTTGGACTCTTCTGTGCACTATATATACAAGTAAACCTCTAGAAAAATCAAATCTTACATTTTATGTAATAATTTGTATTCCTCCATTATTGATATTATTAAACTCTCCTCTTCCGCCCGTGGTATAATTTTACCACGTAAATCTTGTGTTCTTATTCGATTTTCATATTGACATATACATTATTCTCGTTCTTTTATTTTCAAACAAGTGGTATCAGAGAGATACATAATTCTTAACAATATCTTATCCCTTATAATAATTTCCATCCACATTTTAGTTAGGAGGGCATAAAAAAGATTTAATTTTCCATCATATTTTTAAATAAGCCAAAAAAATAACAAAATCAAAAGTGCGACTAAATATTTGTCTTTCATTGTAAGGTATCTTGGGCGTGTTTAATTCATTATCTTGGGCGTGTTTAATTCATTTGTTAAGGGATCATTTTCAACCACACATTCAAACAATAAAATATTCTGCACATTTTTCTAAAACTTTTCTGTACTTTTTAACCACACATTCTTATAAATACACTAGTCAAAACTCATTTCCTTTCAAATTAAAGAGAATCAAATAGGCACTTAACATAATTCTTGGATAAAAATCATCATCACGAACAACAAATCTTAGTCAATACAAAGGTTGATGATAAGAATACAATAAATAAATAAATAATATATATTTAAGGACACAAGTGTTATAATAAGTAAAAGTTGACGACATCTAATGGAATTAAACTGTGGTGCATATATAAGAAATTATGGTATTAATATAATTACTCATAAAGAAAAGGTGATTAATTCTTTATTTATTATCAATCCCATTATCTTGTGAAAGGAGATTGTAAAATGTAAAGAGAAAAACTTGCATTATTATTATAGTTGCCCAATTAATTTTTATGGCAAACAATTCAATTTGGTTGTTATATATAAAATTTTTTGGCACCAACGAATGAGAAAAGAAAATATAAATAACGATTTCAATAATATAAAATAAATTATGTTATATATCTTTTTGTAGTGTATCTGAAGTAATATGATACAACAATGATAAACTCTAATTTATCGATTTCAATTTGAGTTACGATATGTGTCTATATTTTCAAGTTGATTGCAATTGAATCTATTTGAGCCTATTCTTACCTTTAGCTAATGGTGTGTATATGCAACTATAATGAGTATTTTAGTTAATTGACGATGTCGTTATCTTTAGTTTCATTCTTATCCTTAACAAGCCCCTCGTAATACTATTAGAGATTTCGATATAAGGTAGTAGCTGAGTGAATTTCACATTTGATAGTAACTTCGTTAGAGTGTTTGCTAGGTAATCATTAGAGGATATGTAAGAAATAGTAAAAGAGTTAATTATACCATGCTTGAAGTGGTTGTTTGAGATCGTAAATGACTTTCTTAATGTGACAAATATGAGTGAGATATTGGGTATCAACGAATGCTGGAGGTTGATTCATATAAACTTCATCATTTAGAGAGTCATGAAGGAATGCACTATTCATGCGAGTTGATAGATTGGTCAGTCATGGTGTACTGCTATTGTGAGTATAAGGTGAATGGTTGTAAGTTTAACGAGGTTAAAAGTGTCAATGAAGTCAATATTGGGCAATTGAAAATTCTTTGACTACAAGACGTGCTTTATATTGAAATGGAGCCGTCCTATTTTAAACTTTAAACCCATCCGCAATCAACAACTTTTTTTATGCCCAAATCACGACAAATTAGATTTTATTTTATTTTTACTTTTTTGGACAGCCTGCTTATCACATCAATTTTTATTTATTTATTTTTTGGGCCACTTATCACATGAAATTCTTTTGCCTACTTATCACATTTCAAGTTTAAAAATACGTGTAAATTATTATAGAAAAAAGAACCCAATGGAGAGAACAATCAATTTATTTATTTCAAAACAATATGAACGGAATAAATAAAAAGGGTAATTGACACAAAATGTCCCTACCTTTCGTATTGATTGTGGAAAACGTTCTCACCTTTCATTTTTTGACAATTTTGCCCTTATTTCAACGTTTGGTTGCGCAAAACATCATTCTCCCTATTTTTGAACGTAAAATAACCATTATACCCTCTTATTTAAAACAAAAAACCAAAAAAGAAAAGAAAAATAAAGCACAAATTGTAATCATATTCCCAAACGTTTTGAAAAAATATAAATTAGTCCAATAAATTATAAAAATAATCTCTTTCTTCTCTCCTCTCCCTCTTCCTCCCCTCCTCCACCACCACCAAAACTCCACCCTTCGATCACCTTGAGTGCCGGACCAATATATCACCTTGAAGCCCTCACTACTCTCTTCGAAACCCACCCAAGCTCCGACCATAACTCCAATCAATTTGGCTGAAAATTGAAGCCAAAATAGGCTACCCAAAACATATTTAAACAACAAATTCAATAAAAAAAATTTCACTAACCCCATCTCGCCTACAAAACCCCAAATTAGAGAAATCCATGCACTAACCCCATCTCGCCTACAGCCACCACCCCCTCAGAGAGAAATTGCTTGGGAAACGAGTAGCCACAGATCATCAAATCTGTCCATGGCTAGTAGTACTGAAAGTGAAAATTTCACCACCATGAGTAGAGAATTCAATGCTCTAGTTCTCGCCGGATCCCCAATCGGAAATAGCAATAGCCGCTCGAAAAACGACGTTCCCATGGTGGCTAATAGTGGGAACAACTTGGGGAGGATCCGGGAAGAAGTGCCGGAGGAAACCAATCCTTTAGCTATCGGGCCTGATAATAATCCTCTCGATATTCTCGTCCCCGTGCAATCACCACAAGGTAATTTTAACAAATCAGAAATATATTCAATAACTTACAGACGGCAGTGAAAAAAAATTATTAAATCTGTTGTTTAAATATATTTTAGGTAGCCTATTTTGGCTTCAATTTTTGGTCAAATCGATTGGAGTTATGGTCGGAGCTTGGGTGGGTTTCAAAGAGGGAAGTGTGGGCTTCAAAGTGGTATGTTGGTCCGACGCCCAAGGTTGCTGGAGGGTGGATTTTTGGTGGTGAGAAGGAGGGGAGGAAGAGGGAGAGAAGAGAAGAAAGAGATGATCTTTTAATTTTTATAATTTATTGGATTGATTTATATTTTTTCAAAATATTTGGGAGTATGATTGCAATTTGTGCTTTATTTTTCTTTTCTTTTTTTGATTTTTTGTTTTAAATAAGAGGGTATAATGGTCATTTTACGTTCAAAAATAGGGAAAATGATGTTTTGCTCAACCAAACGTTGAAGTAAAGGCAAAAATGTCAAAAAAATGAAATGTGGGGACGTTTTTCACAATCGACATGAAAGGTAGGGACGTTTTGTGCCAATTACCCTAAATAAAAACTACGCTATACATGTAGGATGCGTTTGATTTCGAGCATAAAATTTGTATGAAAAGAAAATAATTATAGGCAATTCATACGCAATATACTCGTGCATTTTTTAGTGGTGGATAGATGAGAAAAAGAAAGAAATAATGGATCCCCTGAAAAATAAAATCATACTCAATATAAAGAAAATATTTTTTTTGATTTTGAAAAAAATTTTGATCACATAATCAAAAGTAGGAAAATATTTTTCATGGAAAAAAATGTTTATCAAACAACACAAAACTAGGATTTTGGGTGGAAAGAATATATTTTTCATGAAAAATATTAGCAATCAAATGCACCGATATGTGGAGCTCAAATTTAGGGAAAATGAGTATTACATTATATTAGTGTTCTAAAAAAACGTAATGTATGACAATATGTGGAGGTCAAATTTCGGGTAAGCCGAGCCTAGGAGAGGCCTAAGCATAAAAAATCTTTTTTATTTTAATATTATTTTAAAATTTTAATCAATCTAAGAATCTTTTAATAATTAGAATAATACCTACTAAATATGTAAAATAGATTTATAGGAACTTTATACATTTTTCAAAGTTTCCAACAAAAAGATAAATTTCGAAATCATAGTCATATAATGTAGATAGTATAGGAGATTAAATCATATCTAACTCTTTGTCGAACTCTAATTCAATATCCTCTTCTTCATTTAATTCGTATTTTGTGCCGACCTATACAAAATCAGCATTTTAAGAATTGTAAGTAAATAAATAAATAAGTAATATATGCGTAATATATGCACGCCTTAAGTTTAGTCTGGCTCTCACATGTTGGACACTATATTACACTTCATCCGTCCCATTTATAAAGGTCGACTTTCTTATTTTTTGGTCCCAATTTTATAGTTTTATTTCTTTATTGAGAATGTTTTATATTATTCGTTTACTAATATACCCTTACTTAATTTGCTTACTCCTATCCAAATTTTCCTGCTTAATTTTGAAATTGTACAAATATAAATAAGATAGACTACCAAAGTTTTTCGAAAAAAATAAAATTTCTTAATCGCTGTGAAAAATAAAACTAGCTGGTATAAATGGGACGAACGGGGTATATATATTGTGCACATTATACATTTTAGATAGAGGCGCTGTCAATGCCTGTCATTTTGAACACTACATTATAAGAATGTGTTGTGCACAATTTACATTGTAAATCTATCTAAAAATTTTAGAAAATACGTGGATCATTTGAGGACCTTGCTTGAAGAAATAAAACACCTTGCATTTTCTCTATTTTAAATCTCATCCCACTCAAAAATTAGAAAAGTAGAAAAAGGATCTCCAATATTTAAATGAAGTTATCTATCGAAATTGTGAGATGTAAAAATATATTGGTATGGGAGCATTCCGTCTTAGAAGAAAGCCCCTACAAATAGTGGTGGACAAGCAGAATCGAAAATGTTGGCTTGAGTAACCTAAACATTGGTGAGAATCCAATATCTTGAAAACTTAAGGGTTCCTCTACAGAGTTCGTCTGCGGAGGATGAGTTTGAATTTTTTAACTTGTTTATTTTTAAAGATTATAGACTACTTTGTCACCCCAACAATAAAATGAGAACCAATTGTACAATTTTATGAGCTTGCACGTGAATTCATAGCTTGATGGCTATAGAGTAAAAATCTAAACTATTGCTTTAATAAAAGAAACTTACACAAGCCATAAAATTATCAAAAAATTGAGGGTGCAGTAGAGTTTGAGAGAGAGCGCGGACAACATGAATGTATTTGCAAAAAAAGAGGGAATTAGGAATATGGTCAGTCCAATTCAACAATTTTTGTCTTAGGTCTTTGGCGGAAAATATTATTTATCTAATATATTCTTACATTAAAAATAAAAAAGGAACACTCAAACCTTGTTTTTGGGGGATTTGAAATTCAAAATAAAAAGTCTACAGAAATATCTTATACCCTCAAGGATAATTCTACATGTACATTATGGTGTCTATAAGGGTGTCCATAATGTACAAGTGACATAATATCATTGGAGGATTGAAAAATATCTTAATGTACATAGTAGCATAATCTTACTCTCAATTCATTTGAAATTTAAATTGAAATCTACTCAGCATTCTATCTTCTTCCTAATTTGAAAGTCATACAAAAATCTAAAAAAATATTCATTTGAATCTTTCGTACTCAAAAAGTAGGAAATATATAGGTCAATCTATCCTAGTGAATCACTTGAAGTAGCAGATGATCCCCACGCAGATCTCAATTGTAGATCTATTGATAATCGTGGAACATGACCAAGAGCAAGTGATTGTGGTTCTGCAAAAGGCCCACGTAAAAGACAATATCAATCTCGAAACGCAGGCCTTCTTCCCCCAAAGTAGAAAAATATATGAAAGAAAAAGTCCTTTCCACGGTAAGAACTCCCCAATGGACCTTTCTAATCGAGTTACCATCACACAGACCAACTTATGACACATTATATGATCGTTAAATTGACTCAAATACATGTTTGAAATTTATAACTTTTTTTAATTTGAGACTTGACCTCATTTATTACAAGGCCAAATATATTTACCAGGACCAACCAACCATCTTGGAGAAACATACAAATACAATTACCAACAAGACAGAATTTATATAGGCCCGAAAAGACCGGCCCCATATGAGAGTTTAGATCATGTTTGAGCCTCATTTTTATTGAAAAATGTATTTTAAAATATTAAATTGATGAAGAATGTATAATTAAAAAATGATAAAATGTTTTTTGTTTGTGTGTAATATTAGTTTTTTGATGAATGTGATTAAAAAGAAAAGACGAAAAATAATCAGATTAATGGGGTCCTTTCTGCAGTATATTTTGAGAATAATGGAGATCGAGCAAAAGCTTAATCTACACTGCAAGATAGGTGTAAACCGAGGAAGAATCGGGCATTGCATAGAAACTCAAATTATTGTCTGCTATACACCAGTCTTGAGAGGCAATCATCTCACCTATTCTCTCTCTCTCTCCTCTCTCCATATCTACCGCTATATGTATGTATCTATGCATGCATGTTACGTTGCATGTAAGTTCTAAGGTTTCGCAAGTATTGTACATATGGCTGTTAATGAATTGGATTTTGATCCAAATTTGATCCGAATTCGATGAAATTAATGGAAGATAGATTTAGGGTCTCAGTTCGATAATCCGATTAAGATCCCAATCCGATAATCCGTTAACTAAATAGAGCAAATATGAATATAAGTCGATCCGATCCAATAATAATCCGATCCAATTTATTATAGTAATATAATATATTTTATATATTATATCATAATCTAGTAAACATAATTTTTTCCATTTTGAAACTTATATTATGCTTTACACATAATTTTTAAATAATAAATAATATTAGATAATAGTATAATATTGTAATTGAAATATTCGAAGATATTTAATTTTTTTATTAATTAAAATAAGATAAAAATAATTATAGTAATTTGTTTTATAACATCAAAAACTAATAATTAATATGTCCAAAAATAATTTATATTGTTTAAATTGATATTATTTGTGATTATAATCTTGTTGAGGTAATGATTTTTAATGAAAATAATAAAATAAACTAGTAACACTTAGAATTGACAATTGACTACTATCTCATATTGAAATATCATTAAAATATTGGAAGAGGAGTATCATTTAAAAAGTTATTATCCCACATTGGAACATTACTAAAACATTCCAAGAGGAAGTCTCCTTTAAAAAGGAACTAAAGGAGCATTGCTTGGATAAAAAATTGATGATATGGGCCTTCTAATATAATAGGTAAGCCCATCAAGATAGTTAAAATATTTTTTGGGAAAAAATCATATTACCCAAAAAAATGTTGGAAAAAATATATTTTTTAAAAATTCGGACCGGATTATCAGATCGAATATCCAATAACATGGTAAATTGGATATGAATTTAACAATCAAATATCCGTTGGATTATCGGATCGGATAGAATAGGATAATTTTTCTTAACAGATCGGATTGGATTTGTGCAGATCCGTTCCATATCCGATCCATTTACAGTCCTAATTGTACATTAGTCTATTTGTGTTTTTTCATAAAAAAATTAATTTCTAGTTTTTTCCTTGATGATTGCAGAATTTTGGGCTTTTGGCAACCAGTTTGATTAATCCTATGACCAACAGGTATTTTTTAACGAGTATCACGAGAATATATTATGTTTAGTCATATTTAAAAGCTGCTTAAAAAATTGCTAAAAGTCGACTTTTAAACTTGATTGATCACTCGTCTATTACTAAACGAGATCGTCGCAAGTGTACCATCTAATTATCATTTGGAAATTGTTATGATGTTTTTATTTTACTATACTTTGTGCCTTGGTGGTTGCATTTCTTAAAAGCATGTTTTTTTAAAGGTGGTTCGAGTTAATTTATTTTTTCAACTAATTATTTTCTCCCTATATGATGTTGTTGAAGTTCATGGTATTTTCTACATGAAAAATACAATGTTTAAGTAATCATTTATGTAGTAATAAAACTAAGTTAAATACTTAATTTAGGGATGCTTTGTGTGTAATGATGAATTGGATGTTAAAAAGAATTAAAGAACGCTCCTTAATTTATTAGCCATACGAAGTAATTGTTATACCAAAAAGAAATACTATTTTGATAATATTTCTGATGAGATTGCAAATATTCACGGATCATTAATGATTCTAGAACCGCTGAGCTTACGCCACATGCCTAGATTATTAGGTCATGCAATAATGGTCTCTTAAGAGCAATTTTTTCTTTTTGTCTTTTGGTTATTTTTATTTATTTTTCTATTTTATTTTTATTTTTATTTTTTTACTTTTATAGTTTATTTAAGTTTGAGGGTAGAAATGTCATTTAATGTGACATTAACAGAAAATTTAGATCGAATTATCAGAAGGTACCATATGCGTGAATTCTTGAAAAGTTGGGATATGTCCTCAAATTAATGGGGGATGAAATTGAGACGAAGTGGAAGGGTTGGAGATTTAAAATATAAATAGTAGGAGAGATTGATCAATTAGTGCAAGTGTCAAGTTTATTTCGACGAGAGTAATCCACATCATTGCCGATGTACACTAATATCTACATGCATCATAGTTAGTGGCAAATCCAGGATTTTGAGTCAGTACAGACGACCGTTGACCGTCAATTGTTGGCTGCAATAAAATATCAAAAGCTCGTTTGATGTTTTTTTTGCAAAAAATACATTTTGGAATAATGTTTTGATGAAGAATAAGTAGTTAAAGAATGTATGGTTAAAAATAAGAAAGAAAAATGTATTTTGAAATAAATAAGGCCTAAAATTTAAATACAATAATTATTTTATTGAAATTGAACATATATAATTTTTGTTATAAGAATAAATCATACTCACCAAATGACATTGTTGCTAAGTTTTATATAATTCAAAGGAAGAGCATGGGTTTGAATGTTGATAATTGCATTAAACCCGCTACAATTAAGATATATAAATTTGTTAAATTTAGCCCTTATTTGAGCCACATTATTTCCCTTAGAATGAATTTTTGAATAGTGTATTAATGAAAAATGTGTGGTTAGAAAATAAAGAAAAAGTTTTTAATTTACAAGTAATATTATTTTATTGAAAAATGTGTGATTGAAATGATGTCAAATCACTACTTAAGAATATATTTTTTTTTTAAAAATGTGGCTCAAACATGCCCTTAGTGTCATAAACCACTAAGTGTTGCAGTGGTCAATCTCTTAATAATTCTAACAAGATGTCCAGGTTCAAATCCCTCATCCTTATTCCATTAATTTTTGGTAAAAATTGTAGAAACAAAAAAATCATACAATAAATTTGTTGTAAAATGAATCGAACCCGAGATTTGCAAGACGAAAATGCCACCTCTGCCCAAGTTGGCTAGAAGCAATGTTTGAATTAAGAGTGAATATCAGTAATATAACCTAAAAAATGTATATGTTGTCAATAAAAAAAGGGCTGTCGTCGGATCCAGTACGCGCGGCCACCAGTGCTCGCCAGGCGCTGGATCCGCCAGTGATATAGTACCTAGAGTATCAAGCAAATTTTGAAACATTTATGTTCGATAACATGATCGTGACAAGTGATGCCCATTGTATAGCTATGTTAGTATAATACTATGTAGTTTCTTAACATGAGATTATGGACATGTTTTGAAAATTACGATAAGAATGCAGTATCACATTGGAAAATTGATAATCAAATTGAGTTTCCTTTCACCTTTGCGACTGCAGCTACTGATACTGTGCAGATAGCAGCATCTTAACCAAGCTACTAGCAAGCGTAAGTAACCTGAAAAAGAATCTGATACCGAAATCTTAGGATGGTCGTAGAGGAATCTGATATCGTTTCTCTAGGAGAGGTTGAGTCGATATTGCAACCGCACCAACAACAACCCAAGGTCGAAAAATCTCCGTCAAGAGGCCTACAATCATCCATGATCCATATACTAGCTTACCCTCAATGAGTTTCAAAACAGTCTTAGTGAGAAGGATGAAAACTTCGGCTTGATGAACATGGATCAGTTTCTTCATAGCATATGGATTGCTGAAGAAAATCAAGCTACAAACACCCAAGCAGCAAGTGCCACAGCCAATGGTAACAATGTTAATGCAAAACAGAATCTCTTGTACAAAAGTAATGCTAAGGGAATACCCAAGCAGACCAACTTGCCCAGACAAGGTTCTCTTAGTATTCAGAAAATAGTGGATGAAGTGTGGTCTGATATTCACAAAGATCAACAGCAAGATATTAATGACACTTGTGTTCAAAATCCCAATACTACTCAGAGATGGCCGACATTTGAGGAGATGGCACTGGAAGATTTCTTGGTTAAATCTGGGGTTATACGAGAACAGAATCACCCCCATCCCTGGTGCAACCTCAACTGCAGCAATATGGAATATATCCAAACAGAGATTATGCAGTGGAGTCTATTTTGTGGCCCTGCCTGTAATGGGGCTAGGGTGTGGCAATGGTGGTAATAATGCCAGTGGTGCTAATGTTGCAACGTACCAAGCTCTTCCGCAAAGTGGCGCTGGAAAGCCACCATGTGACCCTGAAAGTATGAAAAGGGGTGTCAGGTACACACCACAACCATCGATAGACAGTCGAGACGAGCACTACCAGAGGATTTGGGCGAGTGACGGTACTGGGAATGGGATATTCCCGGTGAAAGAAAATAAAGAAACAAAGTGA